ATATAGTACAACATAATACTATTATCCTATTCGACAACGAACGCGAACTGATGGTGCAAGATACATTCAATAATAAAAATTATATTAGACGTTTTCTGTAGTAATATTAGTAATAATGTCAGACTTAAAATGAGGGATATTAGTCATAACCTCTATGCGTATCCAATGTATTTGTAAATCTAATGGATCTTTAAAAAAAATGTGAGTAGGCCTATATATGGTCATGATGTGATGTCATGATTATATTTTTGCATGTCAAATGTTTGTTTCAAATATAACTTGATAGTGTGGACAAGGCATTAATCATAGGTGCCATGAGATTCACCGACTGGTAGTTTTTAATATGTGTATAAAAGTGAATTTTGTGACCGAATTAAATTAGATATCTGGCTGAGATAGCCTCTCTTTCAACAGCAAACCAAATCAATATAATACCTTCTACAAAAAGCAACCCCCAAATTTTCAAAAAGTACAAAACTAAATCATTAAACAATCACCAAGCCCAACTTGGTGAGCTTAGGAATTTGTTTACTTGCAATTTGACAAGGCTTCCAGAATGCCTAACTGTCATATAATTGTGAACTAAGTGAAGGACATTTAACTGCTTAAAGTCCTTACTATGCAGACCAGTGAAGGATAACTAACTAAACAATTATAGTCACCTAATCAATACTTATACTCTCAAATAATGGACTTTTAAATAAAAGCTAGGTCCTTGATTTATTTAATTCAAATTTACAAGATATTGTGGGACTTTTGCACGATGAATAAATTACTTGTCATGAGTTTTTGATAGACATTCGTCAAAGGAATACAAATTTCTTCAAGCATTTGAGAAAATACAGTAATCATATTTAAGTCGGTGAAGACAGGTAAAATCGTTTGATGATTCATCTAGGCTTACACATCGATCTAGGGCCTGGTTTCGGCCTACTGCGCTGTCTAGATCATTCATTTCTTGTTTCTTTTAAACAGATCTAGATAAGCCTGAAATATTCATATTCTAGTCCTAATCAGTTCCTTAATTCATTGATTCAATAAATGAATTAGTTTTTTTTATACATAATAATGAATTTGAAGTGACTTTCTTCAGCGTCAAACAGTACCTTGATATACAAATGTTATTTTTTCAACTACCACTTGTCAACAAACTATTGCCGATTGGGAGAGTGTCTACCTTCTCTTTCCACAAGCCTCCGTAGTAGTGCTATGTGTAAAAACACCAGCCTAGAATATATCTCGGTGCGCGATATGGCGATACATGCAAGTTGAATTGGCCTTTTGCACACTAACCGAAAAAAAAAATCAAGCAAACCGTGCACTAATGAAAAATTAGTGCACGGTTGGGAATAGGAAAAATAACATTTCGAGTTACAGTGATAACGTGACGATTGACAATAATATTGTTTAAAAATTAACAATAATTGTCATGATTATTTTTTTGAACAGCCAAAATTGCGGAGAGAGAAACTGAATGTAAGTCGACACTTATTATTTCACATTGTTTAATTTATAGTATGTATTACTGTATATAATATAATTACTACCAAAGTGGAATATTAATGTGCATAAACGCTTGCATTTATGGGACAACACGTGTATTTGTAGGACATGCATGTATTCCTGGGCCTGATATGATTTTTCGGGTGTTAAATTGATTGGCACCCCCGAAGGTCCATTATCATTATATCTGATCAAGGTAAATATACCACTACAATGATACCCCCACCACTAAGATTTTGCTTCTAACCAAGCAAACACAAAACATTATGAACAGTCATTAACGTTGTGGGTTACAAAATGTTAAAGTTACGTTTTAAATAGGCCTAAAGTTAGGTTCTAAAGTTATATAATATATCTCTCAATTCAGCGCACAGAAATTATAATAAATAAGATTGAAGTATGATTAAATAGTATTCTTTTTTTTTTTCATTCAGTTGGTTCAGCAGATGGTCCAGTTCGCCACGAACTTTCTTCAAGTGTGTAATAGGGCTAATTTTAATAACCATTACGGGTAATGATATTTTACCCTGGTAGTGATGATGCTACTAATTATGATGACAATAGTTATGACTGTATGAAAACGCTTTGCTAGCTGGAATATCGTAGTGTGTAGGTCTATTGCTTTTCAATTACTGATCTGTGTCATCGAGAAGCTTACCAAATGTGTACTCTTATTGTACATGGTAATTGTGTTTCGCATAAATTATTATACGGCGTTGAGGAATAATCATTGAGCATGTTCTTTTTATGTAAAGTTTTTCTTCCTCTCTACTTTTGTATTTTCTATAACATTTATGTGATCCTTCCATATTGAATTATTTTGAGGTTTATTTACTTCAGGTTCTAACCACCACCGTCCTCTAAGCTTATTTATATGTTTAATTTCTATCTTTGTTTAATTACCGTATTATAATCGCATTGTAAATAAATTATATATACTTTGTAATACACAAAAGTTGTGATCTCTTCTCTGTTAGTTATTCTGAGCCGTAACGTAACATCACCTTTTTGTATGACTTTGTGATGTTCTTGCGAAGTAGTTCATTGTTTTTAGGTACATCCATTTTGTAGTAGTTGGTGGACTTGTCAGCCGGCACAAGAAGTTCTAGATATACTAAGGGGGAATATAATGAAAATCAACATGTATTTGTAAAGAAATATATCTAAATCAAGCTTCAACTTACTGCAGTAATCGTCTTTGAACCTCCAAAAAACTTTAATTGGGTTTAAGCGTGCAAGGAGACAAATAAATTGATGAAAAGGATGGAAAAAATGCGATTGTTGTAACATAAAATGGTGTAAAACTGGCTAACCAATGTCTCGAATGACAATGATCTATTTTGAGGTGTTATAATACAGGATTTATGCCTGCTGTGCGTAGGTAAAGTGTAACTTTCAAGAAATTTAGATATATTTTATTTATAAAACGCCATTAATTTACTGAATACGTCTGCTTCTGTAGTAGTAAAAACTTCCTACAGCTGCAATCAGTCCTTCTTCATTTGAGGCAATGTTCTCTTGTCACCTAGTAACTGCCATTCTCTATGGAAAACTATATTTTATTTTCTAAAAACAACCAAAGATCGTTCGGTACTTTATTAAATTAGGAATAAGTGCACATACACTTGAAATTGAGAGAGGTAAATATACTTAATCCAAAAACTGAAGCAGAAAAAAGATTATATCCCCTCTACAAAAACGGAGAATTCAAAGACGAGCTCCGTTTTATTTTAATTTTCCACATTCATAATTATATATTTAAGAAGAAAACTATTTATACTTTTAAATATCATTATTATAGGTGCAAACGAGTTTGATGTAATCAAGCCGGTCAAGACGTATGGTTCTTCAGGTCAGTTAGCTAAATGACATATATTGTTAAACGACCACCCTTTTATTGTGTTTGGCTTTTATTTGCTTTCTTTATTGTAACCTTTTTAGTATACTTGTTTTTATACATAGTAGATATCAATAAACTGAACTGAATTGGAAATATTAATATTGGGTTCTTATCCGTTGCCACCCGGCCTTTTGCCACCCAGCCCTTTGCCACCTTAGGTCCGTTGCCACCCAGGCCCGTTGCCACCCGGTGGGTTTTTATACACAGATTTGTACTAGTAGGCCTACTGTAGCAGAATTTTTTCTTGATTAAATTTACTTTCCAGTTTAATATACTGTATTTTGTTTTAAACAATCGTCCATGCGCCTTCTTACCACCAGGAAAAAATTGCAGAAATAAACATTGCTAAAAATCCGCATAAAGAGAGAAATACTGCAATGTCTATAGTTTATTTTTATATTTTATTTTTAAGTATATTCTCATTCTAAAATAGAAAAAATAGCCTGTGCTTTTACAATAAATAACAACACATTTATGATAATAATAGTTATTTATATAGTATAACCACATGCCTATGTGTGTATAATGAACTTTATGGAATTTATTTGTTATTCCTCTCTTTATGCTGACAATTTATAACAAGCGCATATATTTTCTCATCAGAAATAACCGTCATTGATAAACTTTAAATGAAGCTCTTCTCGTTAGCGGTAAACTACAAAAGATATTGCACTTAGTAACATTAACGATCTGAGCAAACTAATCCTCCTGATTGTTTATGTTTTTATTGTTCAGATTATGGGGTCTTTAAGCCTAATTTGCGTGGCCTTCAATTGATCAGCTAGACATTTCCCCCACCCATGTTTTTTTTCTTTTGGTATAACAGAGCTATATATTATCATACATTTAGCTTAATATCTCACAACAAATTGTGAGAGGTATATATGGGCATAGGCCCATTTCTTATAGCGGTAGCAGCATTAACATATTCAACATGTTAATAATAATAATAATAATAGCTTATCATCGCTACTTTCATCATGTTAACTGTATTCATGTTCATTATTATTTCCACACTCAAAGGCAAGTTCAATTACATGAACAAAAAAAAATAATTTATGATGTTCTGCCTTCACTAAAAAATGATGTTAAAAAACACACACTCACACACTAACTAAAAACAGTACATACTCAGAAAACATATACATAAATATACGTCTGAATACATACAAATAAAGATAAAACGCTAATCAGGAACTTCACATGTGTGCATTTCATTATGGTTATTAACCGTAATGAATTGTCGTTGTTTACAATCTGTCAAACAAACGACAAACAATCAATCCATTCGTCATTTAGTACACATAATTTGGCAAAAATTCCGAGAGTAAAATTTCTGCGAATAAAATGCATTGGCATACAACTATGGGTGCAACGGGCCGAGTGGCAAAGGGCCTACGGTGGCAACGGACCGGGTGGCAACATTCTGGGTGGCAAAGGGCCTATGGTGGCAACGAGCCGGGTGGCAAAATGTTGGGTGTCAAAGGGCCTAGTTGGCAAAAGGCGGGTGGCAACGGGCCTAGGGTGGCAAAAGGCCGGGTGGCAAAAGGCCGGGTGGCTAAAGGCCGGGGGGCAACGGGCATAAGGTGGCAAAAGGCCGGGTGGCAAATGGCCGGGTGGCAACGGGCCGGGTGGCAAAAGGCCGGGTGGCAACAGGCCGGGTGGCAACGGGCCTAGATCCATTAATATTACCAACCCAATGAACAGGTCAATGTATTTAAACTTATCTCCTTTGCAATGTATCCACAATTATCTGATAAGGTTGTTGATAATTGGGAGTGATGCACACTCTAAAAAATCTGCCTCAAATTAATGGGATACAAGTAGGATAATTTTACTACTGTATTGGATGGATACGCTTACCTCATATAACATTGAATAGACACAATGACAGGTGAGATAAAGGTACCATAAGAAAATATAATCAAGTATTGATGCACGCCATTTTGTTTGGATTAAATATTTCGATATTAATTATGTCATCCTCAGGAATGAAATTTATTTATTCACTCCGATGATGTCAATTATCACAGCACGATGGCGTGCAATTCAATATTTGTGAGTATGTTATTATACTTCCATATCTGAGATTAATCAGTGGACCATAAATCTACGAGGCGTCTAAAATACAGTCAGGATTAGTAACTCCTTGAGAATCGGAATTTCAACCTTGCTTCCTAATTAAATATTAGATTGTTTAGTCTGATTGTATCTTTATACATGTTTTAAGGACTTCTTGATAAAGGACTATTAAGCCATTAAAGATTACTTCGGTCAACGGTTCATTGGTTGGTTCAAATTCCAGCAAAAAAAACTATTGTATTTTTTCTGTGTAGCTGCATTCCAGAAATAAAACAAATCTTAATTAAATCACCCGTTTTAGAAAATATTTGTTACAAAGCCTTGATCATTGTTGAGAGAGATATAAGTCTACACTGACGCCTTTGATTTTGTTCATATCCACTTCCTCTAAGCAACATGGCGATTACACGGTGAGTCTCCCAACTTAATTGTTGATAATTTATTTTGAACCTGTAAAATTTTGATCATACTCAGTGTTCTTATTTTTTGCATATTTCTGATTCAAAATGTCTATAATGTGTATTTCTCTTTCAGCAAACTGCAAATCGTGGTAGCCGTATTTCTTATTGTGTCTGCTCTAAATACTGATGCCTTTCTTTTTGGAATAGGTAAGTAAAAATGAAAATATCTAGTATTAGTCAATTAAAGTTAACAAGGTTAAAGTTGTTATAATTAAAGGAAGAAACTTACCTTTAGAAGGTATAAAGTCGGTTGAATATTGTAAAATGTAATATATCATCGATATTACTGTGTAGCAC